CACAGGGAGGCAGTTTGATTTTTAAGGGGATTAATAAGTGAATTTTTGCCTTTCATATGGTTCTAGGGACCCTCATATGCAGTATATAAATATATATTGCACATATTTATGCATTTTAGTTCTCTATTATGTTTTGAAACTTTATTTGCTATTTTTTCATATCATTTCATATTATTATTTTTTAACAATTTCTAGTGATTTCTTCCTCAGTACTTCAACTGTCCTTTCGTTCTTTTATTTTTCTCTTTCATGGATGCCATGTTCTTTGGAAGCTTGTTTAGACCAAGGTAATGGCCTTTTAGACTTTCTCCACATGAATAGGAGTTCACTTTTTGAGTAATAAGAATTTATGTCACAGGGAGGGCATCAGGATTTTAAAGATGCTTAGGTGGGGCATGGCCAAAAAAAGTTTGGGAACCACTGATCTAGATTATGGTTAAAAGTGTACATGCTGCCCTGTCAGTATTGCTCAGTGGTTGAGCATCAACCCATGAATCATGAGGTCCCTAGTTCAATTCCCAGACAGCACATGGCCAGGTTGCAGGTTTGATCCTCAAGAGGGGGCATGCAGGAGGCAGCCAATCTATGATGTTTCTCTTTTTCTATCCCTCTGACTTTGCCTCTCTCTCTCTAAAGAACAATAAAAATATATTTTAAAAAATATATATCCAGGCTTCTGAATTTTGGTAATGGTTTATATGAAACCATTATGTTCCTTCATCTTAAAACACTTGGCTTAGCCTTTACAGTGTCTTCTTTCAGCTAGATAGTTTTGAAGGTGGCTGTATATAGAGTCTTACTATGGAACCCAGAGAGAACAGGGAAACTTGTGAAAGGCAAGATACTATGTGCAAGTGATAACTACTCTTCTTGTCTGAGCAGCAAAACTAATGTAGGTGTTTTAAGATGTGATTGTTTTAAGTCCTGAATTGACTGTCTCTCAGTCACTGAAACTTGAAACTTAACAATCTAACCTTTTTATTAACAGCTCAGAAAAGACCCAAATATTATCATAGCCAAGATGGATGCCACAGCCAATGATGTGCCTTCTCCATATGAAGTCAGAGGGTAAGTAGATTAAAAACTAATAAAAATGAGTAGCCAATTGACAAAAAAAAAAGCCATTTTTTTTATTGGGTATAGTTTGGGGAGTCCTCATACTCCAGTTGAGCACAGAACCACTGCTGCCTTCCCTGGGTTAGAGTTCTGCAGCATGGGCCTACATGACTGCCACAGATTTTGTGAGCTCTCATATTCCTAAGTTTTGGTCGGATGTTACCCTAACCATTGATGGGGACTGCTGTCTGGTCACATTAGAAATCATGGCCCTAGCCAGTTTAATTCAGTGAATTGAGCTTTGGCCCGCAGAGCAAAGAGTCCCGGGTTCAATTATGGTAAAGGGCACATATGTTGGTTGCAGGCTCCTCCCCGACCCAGGCCCTGGTCAGGGCGTGTGCAGGAGGCAACCAATCAATGTGTTTCTGTCATATTGATATTTCTGTCTTTCCCCTCTCTTCCACTCTCCCTAAAAATCAATGGAAAAATATCCTCATGTGAGGATTACCAAAAAAAGAAAGAAAGAAATCATGAAGAGAAGTTACTCCAAGAAACAGTTATTAAGGACGTATACTTGTATGACAGAGTTACTGGAACCGGAAAGTAGTCAACTCTTTTTCTTTTTCTTTTCCCTAGTTTTCCTACCATCTACTTCTCTCCAGCCAACAAGAAGCTAGATCCAAAGAAATATGAAGTAAGTGCATTGTCTCAGCTCTCCACAAATAAACACACACATACTCACACAAGCTTGTACATATCTAGCTCTCTCCCTATATTTATTTAACTGGAAACTCTTTCGACTCTCGTCAATATATGTGGTTAATGTGCTTTTACAAACTCAGAAGTCTTATTGGGGGTTGGGAGGAAACCCAGGGTTCTTTAAATGATTAAATTTTCATGGTAATCTTTCTGTTTTCAGGGTGGCCGTGAATTAAGTGATTTTATTAGCTATCTACAGCGAGAGGCTACAAACCCCCCTGTAATTCAAGAAGAAAAACCCAAGAAGAAAAAGAAGGCACAGGAGGATCTCTAAAGCAGCAGCCAAACATACCACTTTGTAAAGGACTCTTCCACCAGAGCTGGGAAAACCATTAGGAAGGACTGGTACCCACATGGGATTATTACCTCTCAGGGCTGAGAGGATAGATGGATATTATCTGAATCCTGTTCAATGTTCTCTAAACTGTTTCTTAGCTGCACTGTTTGTGGAAATACCAGGACCAGTTTATGTTTGTGCTTTTGGGAAAAATTATTTGTGTTGCTGTGGGTGGGGGGAATTAAGTTGGGGGGTTATTTTCTAATTTTTTTTGTACATTTGGAACAGTGATAATAAAAGAGCCCCCTTTAAACTGTCTTTTCCACGAGATGGGAAACCAACGGTTCTCTAGCCCAGCACTGTCCAATAGGACTTTCTGCAATAATGGAAATGTTCTATAACCTTCATTCTCTAAAACATGTAGCTATTGAGAATTTGAAATGTGTCCAGAAACTACATTTTAAGTTTTTATTAATTTAAACTAGTGGCCCGGTGCACGAAATTCATGCACGGGAGGAGGGTGTCCCTCAGCCCAGCCTTGATCCTCTTGTTGGAAGGTTAGAGGCTAGTAGAAATCTTCCTTGTGAATATCTCCATGGAGCTGAGGGCAGGTGTCTAAGGTGGTTGTGTCTCAGCTTTCCCATCATCACCAGGGCCCAGGCTTGGGGTCCTCATGTCTTCCTTACTCTCCTCACCTTTGGTGCTCTAACCTCTTGAGAGGTGGGTGGAGAGGGATAGGTCTGTGGAAGCCAAAACTCAGGCTAAGACATCTAGGGCTGGACACTGAATATCTCTTGGTTTCCTTGTTTGCTTTAAGCTCTTTGGAGAGAGCCTAGCCTACGTGTACTAAACCAAAGGGCTTTGGTCCCATCCCACAGAAGAAGCAGAGATCTGGAAGGTCCCAGGAGGGGGAGGTTCAGGGCTCCTGTGGCCTTGGCCACCCTGCTGGAGAA